GAGCACTTAATATTTTCTATGTACAAAACGAATGGAGACTCTCCATAGATAGCTCTAAACTAAGTTTAAAAGCTGTTTTGCTACATAACGGAAATATTTTACCGTCGATTCCTATTGGTCACGCAGTCCATGTGAAAGAGTCTTATGAAAATATGAAAAGCCTTTTGTTGCGGATTAAGTATGATGAACATCGATAGCAAATTTGTGGAGATTTGGAAATCGTAGCTCGGGTCGTAGCTCTTCTGCTTGGTCTACAAATGGGCTACACGAAATTTTGTTATTTATCTGCGAATGAGATAGTCGAGATAGAAATGTGCATCACATAAAAAAGGTCTGGCGTCATCGTCAGTCACTTCAACCTGGGCAAAAAAATGACCCTTTAGTTGATCCACAAATAGTATTATTGCCACCATTGCATATTAAACTAGGGCTTATGACAAATTTCGTAAAAGCAATGAACAAAAATGGAGCTGCTTTTCAGTACCTTCATCAGAAAAGGACCCCATAATTAAGCGAAGATCAAGGAAGGTATATTTATCGGTCCTCAAATTAGAACACTATTTAAAGATAATAATTTTGAATGTGTTTTGGAAGGTAGAGAAAAAAAAGCCTGGGAAGACTTTCGTCTTGTGGCAAAAAACTTCTTAGGAAATATGGACCGACAACTATGCTGAACTAATCGGAAAGATGTTACAATCGTATCAAGAACTAGGTTGCAACATGTCCCTGAAAATCCACTCTTTACATTCACATTTAGACTTCTTTCCAGACAACTGTGGGGCATTGAGTGACGATGGAGAACGCTTCCATATGAACATCGCGATCATGGAATAACGATATCAGGGCAAGTGAAATGTTGCCATGTTGGCGGATTACTGCTGGACTGTTTGTCGAGATGTTTCAGAAGCAGAATATAAGAGAGCAGCGAAAAAAACACGTTGCCATTCCGCAAATGAGTAAAAAATGTATAGTTTCTCTTAATTTTTTGAAAAAATGTATTTTTCTTTCTACGAAACTAAAACTTATTTTGAAATATTTTTATCATTATGATGTTTATCAGGTGAAAATTAATAAAAAAAGTTACTTTACGCAATACTACTAAGAATTTGTAGACCTAGTTTAATAAGAAGCCAGTTTAAAAAACGTAGTTGTCTAGTCGCCATGTGCCCAAAAAGCATTTCTGATAATTTTGGCCATTTGAGGCACATAAGAAAAAAAAAAGATTAATTAACTGCCTGGAATTTCCTTATTTAAAAACAATTGTTCAATAGAAATAATATAATAAAATATTCACGGTCAAAGTGTGTCAGGTCACCAAAAGTGTCGACCTTTCACTATTCCAGAACATAATAGGTTCATGTCGAAACAAAGTTAGAGACTTAAAATTATGACAAATTATTATTAAAATTATTTTGACTTCGATTAATATAAATTGTGATATTTTTCCTAATAAAATCAGTATTCAACTAGTAGTCAAATATTACCGTTGTTTTACTCACAAAAACCTACTACGGCCAAGTCACCTTGCCTGTAATCTATAGTGAGACTGCTATAGAGTAGTAGGGAATATAAAGGTTCAGGAATTCCCTGGCCTTTTCATAGTTAAAAAAAAATTAAATCGAGTTATTTGATAATATTGTTAAATGTTAAGTGTCAAAATTTAATTATTATCAAGTTTATAAGTGTTTGACTATATTTAATTGTATTAATTTAATCCACTTATTTACAGATGTTATTTACGTATTTTTCCTCAACAGAATATCAGCTATTATCAGTATTGTTTACCATAAATCAACTTGTCATTATTCCAGCGTCTGCCAAAAAAACGCTGCCGTCTTTTTCGTCAGCCGATATTTTTTCTGAGAGTACGTCAGTAAAGGAATCGATTTGCAAAAAAACAAAATTTGATCAATGTCTTTCACTAAAACTTGAAAATTACAAATTTGACAGGCGTCTGCCGAACTAATGCTGTCAAACAAATCGTCTGCCTGTGTAATATTGATAAGTCCTCAAACTGTTAATTCGTTTCCGAAAATTTCGATCTTGATCAATATTGTTCACCAAAATGAAAATTCATCCCTTTTTAAAATTTAACCCCCGATTAAAGCTGCCACCCTGAAACGGCCGACAGTCAGTTTTGGTATGTCCAGGTAACCCTCAATCATGATTAATTAATAAAAATTTTAATCAATATCGTTCACCGAAAAACCTGCCAGCTCCTATACTATATCATTTGACACCAACTTTGAATTTAACTGGAGATTAAATTTAATCGGAATTTTCAATGGATTATATTCAAAGTTGGTTTCAAATGATAGTTCATGAAAAACTGAAAAAGAATGTATGATTGGTTTTGCTGTGAAATCAACCGTTTAGGTTTTACAGTCTGTCAAAGATGCAAAAAAGTCAATTTCAAACTGTCCATAGCTTTGTTTCAACCTCGCAACACATCAAGAAACTGTACAATGTACCGTCATGATTCTGCGCAAAGCCAAAAATTTGTGTGCAGAACTCGAAATTCGTATACAGAGTCGTTTCTTGACCGTTCATGGGGCGGTTTTTGACTTGTGGAATTGGTGGCCCAAAGACGAAACGTCAGATTTTAAATTTGATGGTAGCATCTTATAGGGGAGAAAAAGTAGCTATGATGATGTGAGTTTTTTTTGAAATATCACTTCAAATAAAGTCAGGAAAAAATAAAAACAATTTCGCAAAATTTCGGTTTTTTCCGGATTTCTCCGGGAGTATTCGGAATATCAAAGCGGCATTTTGTAAAGTATCAAATTACGCAACTTTGCTCTAATTTAACCAACCCTGTATCTTTTACCGTTTTCGAGATCCCAATGATGTGGCTCGAATTAGAAACACCCTGTATTTGATCCAGGTACAGTTGAACAGTGTCAATCAGGCCTTTACTTGAATGTTACGATCTATCTAACTAGACTTGGATAAACAGCTGGTACAATCCAAGTATCGTCCAAGTGAGGCGTGTAGCATCCAAGTGTACTTGATTCAAGTACAGTTGGACCCTGTGCTAGAACCCTACCTTCCGATTCTTGTATAAACGGTTCCATAAGAAATTATTGGGTTAACTCTGAAGACTAAGACTAAAATTGTGATTATTATTAAGCAAATGTTGTATAAAGCAGTCATAAGTCAACTTTTGTATAAAAAATTTTGCCACAAAATATCTATATAGATTTCTATATGACAAGATAGGACAAAATAAACGGGCAACCCTTTACATAAATTATAAATTAGCAAATAAAATCTCGGGATAAAAAAAATATGTTCAGCTCCATTTTTTTAAATAAACATTGAAGTAAATATCACTTAATTAATAATATTAGTACAGGGTGGCCCGTTTTCAATGTTTTAGGGCCGATACTTTTGCTCTCGATTAACGAATTTGATACGTTGTCAAAGTTTTGCATGGGCCAAGGTCTATAAGTATGATGTGGTTGGAGCACATTCTAAGCCCTGATTATTTTTAACGGCTGTCAAATGAGAGCAAAAGTACTGGCATTTAATAGGCTATATCAAAAACCAGCAGAGGTATCAAAAATCTGGGAGCACATTTTAGAGCTCTTTTGACAATGGCAAAGACAATTCACAGCTAACTTGATGCGTTTAAGAAATATAGGGTACTTTTCAATTTTTTTCCAATTTTGAAAAACCTAAATTCCTTATTATTCAAGATATCCAAAAACGAAAAATATTTTCTATAGACAGTTTTTCAAGTAGAATCCAGTGGCAGGACCAATTTTTTTTCCAGATGCCACCGGTTTTGGAATAGTGAACAAAGTTGTTTTTTTCAAATGGGACACCCTGTATATTATTTTTTCATTGAATGGCTCTTTGTAAGCTGATTTCAATGATATATTTTTTATACCTTTATACCTCTACCTTCAATAGTTTTAGAGAAAAAAAAAAAGTTCCGTTTTTCCATAAGAAACAATGAGTTAGAAAGAGATAGTTGAACTATGAATCGGAGGTGATAAATGAGCAACACATAATTTAGTTAATGACTTATCTCTCTCTAGCTCATCGTTTCTTATGAAAAACCGAATTTATTTATTTTTTTCTCCAAAACTATTGAAGCTCGTATTGAAGGTAAAGGTATAAAACCTTATATCATTGAAATCAGCTCACAAAGAGCTATTCAATGAAAAAATAATATATGGGGTGTCCCATTTAAAAAAACACAACTTTGGTTAATATTACAAAATCGGTGGCACCTGGAAAAAAATTGGTCATGCCACTGGATTCTACTCAAAAAACTGCCCACAGAAAGTATTTTTCGTTTTTGGATATCTTGAATAATAAGTAAATGAAGGTCTTTTAAAATTGGACAAAATTTGAAAAGTGCCCTGTATTTCCTAAACTCACCAAGTTAGCCATGATTTGTCTTCTCAATTGTTATTTTCTCATAAAAAGAGCTCGAGAATGTGCTCCCAGATTTTTGATATCTCTGCTGGTTTTCAATATAGCATATTAAAACATCGAAAATGGGCCACCCTGTACAATTATTAGTACAAATTAGTAGTTACCAATTACCAAATTTGGGAATAGATTGCAACTTGCAAGGGCAAACTGAAGCATTTTATTGGAAAAAATAATAAATCTATAGGAAAAATTATAAATGTCTGTACTTATAAATGAATGCCACAAAATTAAAACAAAATAAAATCATGAATTCAGTAGAGTTGCATTGTATTGTTATTATTATCATGAATCCAGCTTCAGTTAGGCCCCCTCGACTGTTCAAAAAAATAACTTGAAAATGATAAATAACAACAAAGCCATTTAAACCTTTGAAGGCCATTTTGAAAAATCACATGCAATCTGCAGAAAGGGACGAAAAGTTTTCATGAAAATTCTGCGCATCAAATGCCATTTCAACGAAAAATCCAATTTCAAAATACCAAGAACTTAAAAATTAAAATTAAATAGCAAAAATATTTTCATTATCCACCACTGGATTTAAAATCTTTATTTACCTGAACAGCGGCACAGGCCATTAGCATTTCGTCGATACGGGGATTGTGTGCAGAAATGTTTTCATTTTCCAAGCCGGAATAGATGGATTTCATTGTCGGAGAGAGGCATTTGCAAGTCCTACAAATTAGGGTCAAGTCTAGCCTTTCCCCGTCCATTTTTAACCGGGTTTTATCCACTATTTTCCCCGAAAATTATATCAAAAATCACTTCATTATTTTCACAGAAACGCTGCCTCTGAAACCCAAGCCAGCTAATCGACAGCACTGGCGAGGCGAGGCGACACTGACGTAGAATGACATAAATGACATTCAATTTTTTTAATTATTGAAAATAAATTCTGAAAAAGAAAATTATTGAATTGATTTTTTTCACAATCATTTGAGCGAGAGTGTGGCTTCTCCATTATTTAAAATACATTTGAAAAAATTAGTCCAATTTATTAAATTAGAAAAACTAAAAATAATTATGTGCTTTCTATTTTTGGATAGGCAACCAACTAGACAATGGGTTTGTTCCGTCAACATGAGGTAGTTGATTATAAACATAAGTCCCTACAAATCCAGGCAGAATGGACGTGGTTGTTCAAGGATAATACACACTACTAAAAGGCCCCACTACAGTTCGTTATTAGGGACATAAAGCTTCCGTATTTTTTGCTCGGTATCCGTATCTGTATCGTACTGCGCATGCGCAGAAGCGATACGGAGGCCGAGATACCGTACGTACAACGTAACGTTACAGCCCTCTCGCGGTATCCGTATCGGTCACGTATCTTGACATGCCTGACGCATGTGTCAAATTTTTAATTTGTTTAATATACTTTCTTGAGTTTCTTGTGTGTTTAGTGCTTCTCTATCGCAAAAAAAATAACAATTTTAAGGTTAGATAAAAAAACACCGGAGTTTTGAGAAAAAAATTTCTAGATTATGAGATGCGTTTACGTTTACCGGAACAGGGAGCGCTTTAACAGCCTTTTCGCTTGTCAACGTATCTAGTTGCGTTACGGATACCGATACCGATACCGGCGAATTATTTCTAGTAGCTTTATGTCCCTATTTTGTTTTTCGTAATCGCGGCCATATTGGTGTAGCACCATTACCGACGTCATTGAGTGTCATCTGCTGTGTGCGCCAGGGACCCAGGGTCGTAGTTTAGAATTTGAATTTATGATGAAAAATATTAATTAATATCGATTAACATAATAAGCGAAGCGGAAGATGCAAACAAGATCTAAAAAAAGAGTTGTTAATGTTAGAGCCGTTTTACACGAAAGTGTCTTCACGAAATTACTCACGAAATTATTGCCGAAATATTTCGTAAGTCAACTTTTCCTGTTTTAAGCTTAGTACTCATAACTGCGAAATTCGCATTTTTTTGACATTGCTTCGACAATTTGACGTTTGATACACGCATAAAACGTCAAATTGTCAACGCGATGTCAAAAAAATGCGAATTTCGCAGTTATGAGTACTAGGCTTAACACGACAAGAAAAACTTACGAAATATTTCGCCAATAAACTTTCGAAAATTTTCTATAGTTTTTGTGGGCGCGGCCGAGAAAATGCGTGAGTTTCGACGCACACAATTACAAAATAAAAAGCGCATTCTTTTTCTTCGAGCCTCATGAATCCGTCATTGGATTTCCTATGTAATAAGATATGATGTTCCTATGTAATAAGATACTACTTATCGGTGGATCAACCGGTGAAAAAAGGGTTGCGCCCAAAAAAATAAGGTGAGAGGGAGGAGGGAGAAGACCAGCTTGGCAAAGCCAAAAGTAAACAAAACTTTATTTATGGAAGGGAAACAGAAATTCAACTTTATGAAACTGCAGAAAACGCAAGTTTTATTTGTTTTGGTTTCCAACGTATGAGGTTATGATTTCATATTTATTGATGGCAAAACGTTACTGCGCCGGCATATGACTAATATTTTCACGAAACTTTTGCTAAATTTTATTTGTCGTGTCAAACAGGTAACAAGCGAAACAAGAATAGTAAACTTACTTACAATAATTTCGTGAAGAAACTTTGCCGTGTAAAACGGCAATGTAGTAAAAAATTAAAAGTATACATAAAGCAAAAACGCGCGGAATAACCTGTGGTGGGTGCAAACACCCTACGTTAAGGCGAAAAACGACATGCTGCCTACGTCACTGATGCTTTGGCTTATGAGGATCAGAGACATGAGTATGAAATGGACTGGGCGTACGGCACGAACAGTGATGTAAACAGGGTAGGCAACCCTAACTGCACATTAGGGGCCGAAATCCGCGCGCACTTGTTATAGGTTAGTGTTAGATACGCCACAGCCCCCTACATTTAACAAGCCATGAAGTTAAAAAGGCAACACCGCAATCTTACCGCCAAGTGGTGCTGGTGGTGTTTGTTTGTATAAATATATATTTTTTATTTTATTAATATGAATCACAAAAAATACATAATTTATTGTACTAAAGGACCAAAAACAGTAATTCAATGAATACTTTAACTATTTGTGTAAATAAGAACAGTAAATAACTGATTTAAATGAATATATTTCTAGAGTCTAAAGTGTTATAGGCCTATGTTTCAGTATGTCTTTTGAAAATCTAACTTTTTCTTTCTTCGGGATTTTTTCGGAAGGCAAGTCCATTCAAATACTTGAGCTGATTTTCGAAAATAAGAGGTACCTACTTTTAAGAGTTGGACGTTTTAGTTTGAACTCTCGAACTACGCCTTTATCCTTGTTTGTTTCAAATCTAATTATTTCGGTTTCTTCAAAATGTTTACAACACACCACAGAATTTTTCGTTATTGTATAATCTCGGGTATAATTATCTTGGTGTATTGCTTTCATCCACATTTTTTGCACTTCAGAATTTTTTTGGAAATAAAAATGTTTGCATTTCTTCAGTTTTTAAGGAACTCCTAATAGTTCGATTTGCACCCAGGAACACAGTAGTTTCATGGCATCTGGAACAAGTTTAAATATCTTAGGTAATATATCGAGACCTATGCTCTTGCAGACAAATATTAATATTGTTTCTATTGTTTTACCTTACCTTACCTTCATTTTTGCTCCTGTACCCATTTGCTAAAAATTTGCAATCAAAGCACAAAGGAACAGGTATCAACTAAATATGGGCAATATATTGGTGTGTTTCTATCCACTTTTTCGTCAATAATGCCCATAAAAATACTAAATTGCAACAATACACAATGAAAGCAATACACAGAAACACATAACCCAATAACAAAATAGTTCCAATTTCATGGCTTGTTAACTATAGGAGGCTGTGGATACGCTCAAGTCTCCGTGTAAGTAAATAGAAAAGATCTTGGGGGATTATGTAAGGCATCAGACGATGTAATAAAACTGTGCAGTTTAGCCGAAAAAAATTTTCGTACTCATTACACTCCAAACACTACACTCAAAAAAATTATAATATGGACCATGAGTGACATGAACATTCACAATTATTTTAAGGAGCTTGGTATTCATATATTGGACCAAGATCCTATTAATAATCATTTACTTCAGCTGATCAACGCAATTTTACTGTTCATTTTCACGTTAGAATCCATTATCAGAATAAGGAATCAAGTAGAATCACTGATAGAGTAATAAACTTGTAATTTTTAAGAACCAGTAGAATTAGAATCAGTTTTGCATCTAAATCCTAAATTTAAGTTTACATATAATATAAGTATTTGTACCTTACAATCTAGTATTTTGTGCCTTTGAATTTGCCCAATAAGAATTGTTTAGGAATAACAAGTTTTTTTATCTAACGTTTAAGTGTTGTTTTATTTTTTTGCCTCACAGGGCAGGTCTGCACAAAACACATACATTTAAGCACGTCTGGTATTTAGTTTTTAATGATACACTATGGATAACTAATTATATGTCACCTTTAAATTAAATTATGTGTTATTTCTCGTTGTGGGTAATGCGCTTGTGTAGCTTCTTGCCCACAATGCGAAAGACTGGTTGCCTAACCATCTTTCCATCACTGCCGCGTACGGCAACTATACGGAACACGCAGTCCATTTCATACTCATATCTCTGATGAGGATATGCTATCTTGTAGTAGTAGTGTGTATTAATTAACCTTGGTGGTTGTGCCTGAATTTTGTAAAGGTTGACTGGCTCTTTTTAATCCTTATTGCAAAAATACAGGAAACAGGAATTTCAAGAAAAAAGACGAGTTTTAGGCGTAGATGATTTCGGCTAGCTTTGGTTGATATACCATTTGGTTAACCAATTGACCTTTTGTTTGGACGCCATATTGCGGTGCGCGAACATAATTGCCGAAAAAAGAAAACAAAAATTACTATATACGGCTGTTAACAATAAAAACAAAAGTAACTAAATGATTGATGGGTGGTATGGGTTAAGATGGTAATATGATGGCTTTTCTTTTCAAAAACAACAAAAACATTCGTAATAGGCGGCAAATTTGAATTTTAAACGTAATTTATTCAGTAACTTTTGTTTTTAATGTTGACAGTACGCCAGTAATTTTTTTTTCTCCTTTTGACAACTATGTTCGCGCACCGCAATATGGCGTCTGAACAAAAGGTCAATTGGTACCTGTCTGTAACATCTAGTAATGACGTAAGACACCATTTTGTTCCAAATTCGTTTGGTATGTCATGAGAGAGGGGGAAGAAACGAGCCATAATTAACTTTCTCTCAGCGTGTCGCTCAGCATTTTCTGTGAATTGAAGCTTATTCCATTCAGCAAAAAAGTTACCCCATATCTGTCGTTCAAAGCCATTTTTCTAATGAACGTTAAAAATTATTTGGCAATCAGAACATACGAGAAAACAGAAGGATGAAGGCGAAAAAACAAAACATATTTGTTAAAAATTTCAAGTTCTCACGAACTTCCATTTATTCACATTTCCAGAGCAGGACAAAACGTTAATAGACGTAGATAACACTATACCAAACGAGAACAACCGTGCTGCTGACCACGGTATCCTATTTGACAGACTAAAAAGGATACCTAAGTCACAATGACGTCAACATATTCGTATCCGAAATCGTTGGTATACATTTGACAGATCAAACAGGGTATCAATCCGAAACCGTGTACCAAAGCTTGCCGAAATCGCCTATTATCTCACACCAGCTGATTTTTGACAGAAAAAATGATTTAAAAAAATTTGAAATTAACAAACAGAAACAAATTATTAATTAATTAGAAAACAATGAGCATTACAATGTTCATGTTTCGTCAGTTGAAACATTCTGCCTTTAATCCAGCTCTATTATACACAGGTCAGTTTTTCCTGCTCCATTCAAATAATATTCACTCTAACCTAAAAGTGAAAACTACAGAATTTCATATTCGAAACTCCTCCTCGAACTCTTCGGACGAAACTCTCAGTCCTCGAATGCAAGAGTTCAAAAAGAAACTGAGAGAGAAAACTCCAATAGGAAAACTGGACCAATCTTCAGCCAAGCATCCCTGTGAAGAACAAGAGCCTTTGGATCCTTGGCCGAACAACACCAACCCACACACTGGAGAAATTGGTGGGCCAAAAGGACCCGAACCGACAAGATATGGCGATTGGGAGCGTAAAGGACGAGTGACTGATTTTTAGATTCATGTGTTTATATTACCTAATTAGGTACCTAGTCTTTCAAAAATAAAAGTTATATTTTCTTTAAGAGGCCAACAACAAGCCGTTAAAAATTGAGAAAAAGGGTTGATTTCCCGAAACGAGAACTCACTTATTTTGTAATATTTTTTGACCGGATTAGAAAATAATAAAAGATAAAAATCTAAAGAATAATGCTGTTGTTTTAGTTTTTCGAAAAAAAAAATTGCAAATTGAAAATATCACGACCTAAATACTCGAAAAAAAGCATCATTTCTATCGCTCGGTACATCCAAACCCATCGCTTTTTTAAAAAAATGAAACAAGAGCATTGTTCTAAATTTTATTATCTTTTCGAATCTTCTTGATTCACTAAAAAATATTAAGTAGTTTTTGAGATCTCGTCTCAAATTGTAAGCCCTGCAACGCGGAAATTCAAAAATTTTGGCTGCAGCGAGGTGCTGCCTCTGGCGGATTTAATTTCGCACCGGGGTAAGTAAAAATTACACAACGCGAGAGGACTGCAAGGCCAGTTATTAGTTTGTGTAAATAATTATGGTGAATATATTTCATAATGAACTCATAACGAACAAAGATAACTTTACTAGAATTCAATAAACGAAAGAGGATATCATATAGCATAGTTAAATACAGTTAGTACGTGAAGGTTAGGAATAAAATCCATCAAAAATACAAGGTTGATTTTTTTTTCAAAAAATCTCGGATACGTCGATTTTTGATTTTAGTGGCCGTTTTTTTGATGAGAATTTCATACATTTGTCAAAACTGACATACCAACAATAAACTAACATGTTTTGATTGTTGATTTGAACCAATCAGATTGGAATTACGTGATAATTTATATTAGTGTAAATTATTGCATAGTAACTAATGCGAGAACTGGTGTTTTGACAAAAAATTTGAATTTTTGATTCATGAAATTTTCTCATAAAATACAGTGTATCCACTTAAGTTCGCAGCACATGGGAAACTTTTTTATTATCAATTTTACGAAAAAAAGTTATCCTCAAACTATGTATTAAAAGTTGAAATAGCATGTACAGGGTGGTCAAAAAATAGAAAAATATACAGGGTATTTCCTAAGTACGGTCCGTAACTTCAGGATGTCATTCCTTACGATATTTTAACAAAAAAAGTTCCCATAAATATGTGACCAGAAATGCGTAGTTTCTGAGATACAGGGTGTCAAAGTTTTAGAAAAAATCGTTTTTTCAGCTCAAAAATTTTTCCATTTTTTTTTTCTTTTAATTTTAACAACAAGGAAACAAGGAATTTTTCAGCCTTATAGTTATGACTGGATGTTTGAAAATGTCTTTGGAAAACACAAGTGTTTTTACCAAAGCTTCAAAACACTGTTAATTACTCATACCTACTATGAGTTTGTATTACTCTGACTTGGTGAGATTCATGTAATACCAGCGTCTTTGCTTTTATAAGACAATGGAGAAACCCAAATTCACTTCGATAGATGGTTGACCTCTCAACCAGATCAGAGCAACGGGATAGGGATGGACACCGCATTGCCTTGACAGGTCTGATGCACTCACTGATGACTTGGGAGATTTTGCTCATTTTTATGGATTAAAAATGCAGTTTCCAGGATGAAACGGGAAGGTAGAATAAGAAGGGCATTCTGGATGAAAAGCTGCCTACAGTGCATTCTTGGATAAATTTTAAACTGCTCGTTTTTGAATAACAAGGGCAGACAAACAGATACAGTCACATGCTTCCCAAAAGGGAGAGTTGTCACGTTCAACAAGGTCCTGAAGACCACATCTGAAACCAATTAGATCAGTCTTGGACATGTTCAAGTCTCTGGTTCAAGCACAGACGATTTGCATCACTCCACTGTTTCACCTGCTCAAGATCGGACTCAAATGTCCCGTTTCAGACGATCCAAGTCCCTGTTGTGCCAAAGAATGGCGTCGGCAAACAGCGTGAACAGCCCAAGACTCCAAGTTTGGCTAAATCATTTATGAAAATTAAAAAGAGAAGAAAAAAATGGACCCGTACAGATTCCCTGGCTGTCTGCCAGATGACACCCCATTTGTGTGAACGAATTGCTCACTGCCACACAATTAGTAAATTATTGATAACTGCTGAATTAGTAGCAATGGAATTCAAGTGTTGTCCAAGTAAACCCCCCAAAAGAGAAATTAAGAACCAACTTGTTTTGTATTATTTGCTTCAGTAGTTTTCACAAGAGCTTCTCTGATAGAATTGCTTCTCAAAAACAACAACAACATAAAGTTATTTGTTCCAAAGCTTGTCATGACAATAAGATGCTAAATCAGGAATCTTCAGAGTGAATAGCGGAGCAAAGAAACGAAGAAATACCATTTTTTGGAAGGGGTTGTAAGACCTAAAAGCTAAGGCCAGCCATAAAAAAATCTTTTTATGAAAATAAAGATATAGAGGACCAAATTTCCAATTAAAGAATTGGAAATTTAAATATCCAGATAATTGATCTACATGAATAGCTAAAACATAAAGACAATTACATAAGAAGACTGGAGCGCGGTTCACGAGTACTCAACGATGAAGCCGAAGAATTTGAACAAAATGTAATTGTAAAATTGAACAACTGTTCAAAAAGATTGAGGGATTACAAGCTAATTTATCAAAGGTCAATGAACATAAACGAAACCTTGATAGATCAGTTTCAAATTATAAAAATAAATCTATGACTTTGAAACCAAAAGATGTTGACCTCGATGTTGACTAAAGTTGGTGTTCTTCAACAACAAAATACAAACCACTTAAAACATATTGGCAGCCTCAGAGAAGAAAAGTTCTAGTCAACTTATATGTGGACCTTCCTCATTCCTGACGAGTGCTTTATTGTCAGCCCCTCAAATCGTAATACCTACTGTGCAAATTGAAAGCAGACATGATAAGAAATTTCTAACTTGAGCCGCAATATTCTGAAGCATCTGGACTATGGCAAGTACAAGTGGTGGAATTCATAATCAAACCCGCTGCTCTTTATGGCAGTGTTTTGGAGGGTCTTGAATGGACTGTAAAAGACTATAATTCTAATGACTATTTGGTTGTTGTTGTTGGCTCAAATGATTTTTTACAATAATTATAACTATCTTAACCAAATCATTAAATCATATTTCTCATATAACACCCCTTCTTACAGATATAAGATAAGAAACTGATTGATTGGCAAAATGATTGCTGAATCAATCCAACTTAGTATGCATTGCAATGTGAATTAATGAACAAAAAAACTGGTTCAGCCTCTAAATCGACTCAGATAAATCAATCCATTTTGCCGGCCGACAGTTCTCAGAATTTTACATCTCCCCAGGTTCTTTTCTAGGGGGAAAGATGAAACAAATAAAGGGTCCTCCCCAAACAGCTTAAGACCATGTCAGGGGCGCCGACTTTTGAAAGTCCTCATGGGTGCACGATAATAATAAATGACTTTATAATAGTTATTTATGATATGAGTGTTAAAAGTACATTTTTAAGGCACGCATGTGAAAGTTTGCAGAATGAGCGAAGCGAATTCTGCAATTCACATAAGTGCCTTAAAAATACTTTTAACACAAATATCATACAATATTTTTTCTACAAACGGCAATAAAAAGCAATAACCAATAACAAGTTAGATTTTTGAATGAATGATAAATTGGACATCTTTCCTACATAAAATTATTAAATTTGACATTTGTCAAAAAATCCAAACATCCAGCACCTTGTTTTACAGGTAATTAAATGTCTTGTCAGTTTCTTGAAAGTCTGTCGTGGTCAGTAATGCTCATACCTTTTTGCTAAAAATGCAACAAAATTCAGAAGAAAAAGAGGGGTGCATCGATCCCTTGAAAAATATAGATAAGGCGGCCAATCGGGCGACTTCAGTTGTTCAAATTTCACCATTAATATCAATGTAAATAACTAAAAATACAAACTTTTTTTGACATTCGCTCTCAAAATTTGATGTTTCATTTTTAACACTAGTGCTATAAGGACTTTATGGCACTAGTGCGATAAAGTAACATTTTTAATGCTACGGGGCGGTGTTAAATATTGCATTTTTAACACGTTTGTAGAAAAATTTGTTTATAGGGGGAAGGGGTGGGAGAATTTTTTTTTCCGGATGCCACGCCACGCCCAAAAACGTCTATTTTATAGTGTTTCCGTTTGCTAAATTTGGGCAGCACTAGAGCAACCCTCGCCCAATTTTTGTATTCGATTTTATCCCCCCGTATGTCTGGATAGGTAGTATTCATCCCCCCCCGTATGTCTGGATAGGTAGTATGAATTTTGAACAAACATTTAATAATGTATTTATTTTTATTTATACAGGGTTTCCCCGTTCAACTGGTCAAAAATGCTAGGGTATATAGAGGAACCATAGAGAACTAATAGGACACCGATAGTCGAAATTGCGCCGTTTCCAAAATACAGGTTATTGAAATTTAAACAACCCCCTTTCATATCATCTGAAGGGCTAATGCTAGGCTATTCAAATTTCTAGGGATTATTGGAACCACCAAAAAAAAATACGGTGTCCTATCTCAAATTAGTTCTCCATGGTTCCTCTATATACCCTAGCATTTTCGACCAGTTGAACGGGGACACCCTGTATAAACACAGTATCCCATTTTGGTTGTACAGGGTATTTGATTAAATTTGGACCCATACCTACAGCCTTTACTGTTAAAGTTAGAAAAAAAATTTAAATACAAAACTAGACAGTTTTTTTCTATATTTTCTTTGAACGGTATCAGAAAAAACAAAATCGCATCGGAAAATGGAGAAATGTAGACAGCTTCAACTTTTTTTAATGGAACACCCTGTATATTTTGCGATAAAATGAAAGATCCTTTCTTCCTGATTCCAATATTCCAAATATATATTTATTGATCACATTTGAGTGAGCCGTTTTTGACATATTTTAGCTTAAATTATAAATAATTTGCAAAGAAATTTCAAAGGATGTCAAGACATTTACATCTTTATAAAATTTCTTTGAATTTTATTTAAGTATAATATAAGCTAAGATATATCAAAATCGGCTCACCCAAATCCAAATGTATTCAATACATATATATTTGGAATCAGGAAGAGAAGATCTTTCATTTGATCGCATAATATACAGGGTGTCCCATTAAAAAAAGTTGAAGTTGCCTATGTTTCTCCATTTTTATATGCGATTTTGTTTTTTTCTGATACCGTTAAAAGAAAAGATAGGAAAAAACTGTCAAGTTTTGTATTTAATTTTTTTTCTTCTTTTATTTCTATCTCAAATAGTAAAGGCTGTAAGTATGGGTCCAAATATAATCAAATACCCTGTACATACATAAGGGACATCTGAGTTGCTATTGGAGTTAGAAGGATACGGGTTTCGCGAACGTTGGCTACATCGCCCTTTCCGTTTTTAATATACAAGGTGTATATGAAAAAGTTGCATTTTGAGACACCTCTGGTATCTCGGTTCTCTCATAAGTGATCGAAAAGGGGACAACGAGTTCTTATAGATCTTTCTACATAGATTCCAGTGGCGAAGTCAGTTTTTCTCTAGAAGTGACAGTTTTTGAATAGTGAACCAAACATACGTTTTTTTCAAATGAGACACCCTGTATAAATGGCTCATTGAATAGCTCTGCTTCTCCTGATTTCAATGGTCTAAAGTTCGATAGGTATATCTATACATCCTG